TAAAAAATAAATTTAAAAAAAAAGCCAACAACAAACCAAAACCAAAACCTAGTATTTGGATAAAAAAAATTTAGGAACAAATTTAGAAATCCTAGTCTACGGCATGAATAATCTTGCAAACATAATAAAAACTACACAACCAGGAGATGATAAATCAATGAATGGGACCTTCTAAAAAGTTGAATCACTGTGTGCATCAAGAAACTTTTCCAATAGGGTGAAAAGAAAGCCTATAGACTGGGAAAAAATATTTGGCAGTGACATTTCAGACAAGGGAATTATAACTATAATTTATAGAACACTACAGTGCTTCCACAAGAAAAAGACTGGTAACTCAATCATAAAATGGGCAAAAGACAAGAAAAGACTCTTGACCAAGGAAGATATTCAGATGGCTAACAAATACATAAAGAAATGTTCAAAATCACTAGCAACCAGAGAGATGCAAATCAAAACAACAATTAGATAACATCTCATTCTAGCAATAATAACAAAATTTGATTGGACAGCAAACAATAAATGCTGGCGAGGACATGGAGAGATTAGAACACTGCTGGTGGAAACATAAAATGGTATAACCACTAAGAAAGACAGTTGGTGTTTTCTCAAAAGGTGAATATAAAAATCCCGTGTTGTTGTGTGCCATCAAGTCAGAACTGACTCATAGCTGGCTCTCCAGGGGTTTTTCAGAGACAGTAAATCGCATAGGAGGAGACTGCTCATCCTTTTCCCACAGAGCAGCTGGAGATTTGAACCTTGTGCCTTTGGGATTGTAGTGCAGTATGACCCAGCTATTCCATTATTAGGAATATACTCTGAGGAAATCAGAACTGAGGCATGATCGGTTATATGTACACATATGCTCATTGCAAAGGTCAGCAGTTTGAATTCACCTGCTCCTCCATGGGGAAAATGATAGGCAATCAATCCTTTGTGATTTACAACCTCTGAAGACCCACTAGAGGGTCAGCTATGAGTTGGTTCTGACTGGATGGCATATAACAACAAACAACATGTTCACTGCAGCATTATTCCCAAGAATATGGAGACAGCCCAATGCTCAACAACAAATGAATGGGAAATGAAACTGTGGTCCCTTCACACTATGGAGTGCTATGTAGCTCAAAAGAACAATGAGGACTTTGTAAAATACTATACAATATGAGTAAGCCTAGAGGACATTATATCAAGTGAAAAACTCAGTCACAAAAAATGGGACAAACATGGCAGAAGACTGCTGCTGTCAAAATAGGAGGGTAACAGGGCAAGGGAGGAGAGCAGACAATAAACACTGTAAATGATTAGGACAGGTGAGGATTAACCTGGGAATAACTGGCAAAAGCAAAGTATGGCTGTTGCAATTAGCAACTCGGAACAGGATACATGCAACTGTTTAAAATGACGGGAGGAGAAGGAAAGGGGGTGGAAGAAGGGGAAGGGAAAAATCACTAGGGCAGTCTAGATTGGTGAACAGATTGGGAGAGCATGAAGGAAGAGGCAATGCACAATGAGGAGTTGATGAGAAGTTGTGATAAAATGCAGTAAAAGTTGCTTACATAAAACATAACACATGTGAATAATTGCATGTAAACCAATAAAAAAATCCCCCACTATTCTGAAATACTCACCGCCCTTCAAATCTGTGTTTTAAAAAATCAAACAATGCTTTTTGCATCATATCCGTGACCTGAAAGTGAGTAAGCAACACATTAAAATATGATAAAAACATTAATGACTATACTCAAAACAATCTCCACTTCTACTAGGAATGCTTGAAAACTTGAGAGTTACACTGGAGAAAAAGTGAAATGGAAGCTGGCATATTTGTCCTCAGCCATTAAAATGGAAAAAAAGAAATGAAAAAGCTCCCTGAACCCATGGTGCTGCGTACTGACAATGAACGTCACTGTGTGTGGCTTCCGTGGCTCTCCATTTGGTACCATATCCCTGACTGACGAAGATGTAGCTAGCACAAGTCTCCAAAGCAAGAGCTGGGAATAGAAAACACTAAGCATTGTACAACACAGCTTGAAAAACAACATACTAGCTGATACCAGGTCGGTAAGGGCAAGGGTGTGGAGAGTGCAGTTACTCACCTCGTACCCTTTAAGAGAAGGGCCTACTAGAACCACTGGTCGCATAGAAGGCACCACATCATAAGGAGGAGTGTGCTCTGTCTGTAGAGAGAAGGGAGGTGGTCAGACATTCCCCAAACAGAGAGCAGTCGAGTACCTTATGTATACAATTCCAGTTCTCAACTCTGATTCAAGGCATTGGCTTTCTAGAGTGGCTGTGGGGTCTAATTTTTGGTTCCTCCCCTCTTTTATTCCCCCCCCCATAAACCCAAAGGTAGGAGGTCTTATTTTCCTAATGCTTTAAAGTAACTGAGTTGTTTATAGTTTTCTTCCCTCCTCAAGGAATGCTATTGACATATTTGATCAAAAAGCAGGAGGTGCTGCTTTTGAACAAAAAAACTATCTGGCAGAACAGACAAAATAAATTGAATCTCATGCAGAATAGGTGCTTTGGGATTATAGGTAAGTCAATATTACTTTTCAGATTCTTTCACTTTTTCTGAAGAGTGTTAACATGCTTGATTGAAGAGGAAAGAAAGGTTTTTATCTCTTTTGCATCTTAGATATTTGTCTTACTTTCATACAACCTAATTTTAAAACACTGCTACTGTCACTCCCAAATATTTGACAAATTTTATTTTACTGTGAGAATCCAAATAGACAGATTTACATCAGCAGTGCATGCTTGTTTTAGTGAATGTTAATCATAATCACTGTTCATACCATAGAGACTAAAACTTTAAGATTTTTGATTTCTTATACCTTGGTATTTAAATATTAAGAATTTAATATTTATGTGTCTAAGGGGAGGGTGGGTAATATCTAGTAATACATTAAATCATGCCTCAGGGGCTTCAAAAGTTTCATTATAGACTCAATGCATCTAATTTCCTTTCCAAGAGAGGTTTAGATAGTGTTTCTCTTATGTAAATAATTTATGCCTTTTACAATAAATTATTTTTTTAAATTTAAAAAAAAAAGTTTATTTTTTTTGTGTGTGTGTACCATCAAATCAGATCTGACTGGTATAGGAGGAGACTGCCCCTCGTTCTCCAGCAGAGCATCTGGTGGATTCGAACCTCATACCTCTGGGATTGCAGGAAACAAATTCTTTTTTAGATTAGCAGAGGGAGGAGTTAAATTTGATAGTGACTCATTTCAAAATTCTTCAGCTTCAACTGCTTTAATTTAGATGATTAAGATAAAAGTTTTTAAAAACTTAGCTGCCATTTTGCTTGATATATTACAATTAGTTATTTCAACAGCTAAGGTTAAAATGACTTCCAAAAGTCATCTGTGTTGTTTTTTTTAAATGAAGAAAAGAGTGTTAGATATTGTTTCAGACACAGTTATAAATTAAGATGATTGTTGTAGAAGTACTGGAGCATTAATGAGTATCTGAAAAAAAAAAGTATTTTAAAAATCACTCCAAAAAAGATGTTCTTGAAAATATTATATGAAATGGATAAACTGATGTGCAAGTGAAAATGCATTTATTTTTTCTTTGCATTAGTCTGATGTTCAATAGCTTAAAATCACTCATTACAAACTTTTAACTTTGTTTGATTTTTAATTGCTTCTATGTGGAATTACAAAGCATTTCAAATTCAAAAGCTTCCATCAGAGATTTTTGCCAATAGCCATAGACAGTAAATAATCAGAGGGTAGAAAACACTACAGTGACCGTGCTGTCAAATTCTATGGCTTAAAGCTTTACCTCGTGTTCCAATTTAATATACACAATAAAGGTGGAATACACGTTTTGAACAGAAAATAAAAAGCAACAACACAGACACAATACAGTGACAGCACAAATGCCACATAAGCACCACTCTAAAGCAATTTAAAACACGAAAACAATCTTATCATTGAATATAAAGTTCTTGTTCTGTTTCTGACCTCTCCATCAAAGTTTACCCCACAATCGATAACATAAGAAGAATGAATACCAGCGCCGGAGGCATCATAAGCATATTATGAAAATATCATATTCATACCACTGTGGATCGTTCTGAAATGATTAGAGGCCAAGTCCTTAAAACTATACAGTATAAAAAAAATTATATATATATATATATATATATATCTTTTCCACCATGGTAATTGGGAATGTAAATAGTTTGATGTTTATGTTTTAGTAACAGTTCCAAGACATTTTATTTTTGGTCTTTAAACATTGAGTGGCTCAATATTGGATAGGCCTTTGGTTCCTTTAATCTGTTAAACTAGCAAAGGGTTGGTTACCCATGCTGATAACCATCTTCTTAACCAACAGGGCAGCTACAGAAATTACCTTATTTGATGGAATATTGGTACTTTTTGCCTCTTTTGATACAATCATTTTTATAGCTCCTTTCCTTACTAAGCTTATTTTGTTCCAATTATTCCGTAAAAAAATAATGGTAAGGTATGTATCTGAATGACTAAGCAGTTGTAAAAAAAATGATCTTCAATATATATTGTAGTTTTAGTACACTACTGCTTTCACTGTTGTGAAAATCTAAAGAGGGGAGGTGCTGCTTATTTTGGAAACTTAAACAATGAATACAGTTAGTAATTTGGATGAAAGTTTTAGCTGTGACAAGGAGAGAGATGTGATCAGAGACTGTCCCACTGCTATGGAGGACAGTCAAGCTGGGACTTCCCATAGTATCATACACATTGGGCATGTTGCCAGGAGTGGCTATTTGTCTCATACACTTTGGCCATGTTGTTAGGAAAGGCTATTCCTCAGGCTGGACATCATGCTTGGGAAGGTAGAGCCATGGCGAAAGAGAGGAAGACCCTCAACTCGGTACACTGACACGGAAGCAATTGGCTCGCTCAAGTGTATCAGGCTGTGAGGATGACACAGGATAGTACAGAGTTCAGCTCTGTTTTAGGGTCACTGTGAGTCATACTTGACTCTAGGAAACCTAACAATAACAACCTATCACAAAAGTCTAGGTGCTTAGATGTTTTACTTTTTTCCTGAATGGCTAATATCTTCAATTTAAAGTAACTTTACATTTTTTTTTAAAAAAAACCACACACACACACCCCCAACAAAACTCAAACTTCTGTGTCTGACATTTTATCAATGATTTCAGAACTCTTCCTCAAAGCAAAGTATTTGTACAGGACAAGAGTTTTCAGTGTGCTCAGGGTATAGGGAAGAGCACAGATGTTACTTTACAACACTAGGTCAGTACATATCCAGCACTGTGCCAGGTGTGGTACTATTTGAAGTGTGCCTGTAACAGACTGTATCCTTGCTGTGGAAGGTGGTGTGTAAAAGGAAGGAAGGAATGGAAATTGGGAGGTTCTGTTGATGCTACAAAATATGCTGAGAGAAAACAGATTTTTCCCCTTTTATGTGTGTGTGTATGTGTGTACTGAAAAGAGCTCAGGAAGATCCTGTATTTCCAGCCAGGGACAAGTAGTAACATCCCTACGTAGAACCTTGGTTGACCAGTGGCAAAGGCCGTATGCATGATCACCAGTCCCACTGTCCAAGCGGGGAGATACGGACGTCTGACTGATGGGGAAGGCAAAAACATTGGGAGAGTATTTATATAATAGGAGAAACTCACAGTAAACGCCAAAACAAGCCTGCAGTTTTCCACTGGTCTTGTTCATCTGTAGATTTTGCACCTAGTGGATTAGAAGTTTAAATACTGACTAAATGAAAAATTGAATTTGTGGTGTTATTTTCTTTAGTACAAGTTATGTATCTGGATATCATAAATGAGCATCTCATACTTGCTCTAATATGCTTGAGTATAAGTTAAAAATTGGGGGAAAGAGAGGGAGACAAAGACAGACAGAATAAGCATGCACAATAGAGGTGCATTATATGGCATTGTTGGTGTGCGACAACCTTGAATGTTTTAAACAAAGACCCTTGGTGGTATCTATTATTCCATCAAAAAGGATAAGTACTGTAAAGGTGCTCTAACAGTTCGCTCACTGAATTTAGTTGTTTGAAATGAATGGACTCAATTAGCCATTTGGTAGGTTCTTTTCATAGGATAGGTATGACTGTATTTAATAAAACTGTGGAGAGTAATGCTAATGATGCCAGTGGCAGGATAAACACAGCTTATGTCAATGTAAACTTACCGATTTCTGCTTCTGCTTAGCTACAGCAGCATGGAAGAGAAACAAAGAATAACAGAGCATGCATGTTATTGGCTTGTCAAAGGACGCAGACAGTCAACAGGACTAGAAATGTGACGCAGTGCACTTGAGCAGGTGGACAGATGGGAGCTTGGAAGCTAATGTTACCTTCTTAAAGAAGGGCATTCTTTTCTCTTTGGAGTGGGGTGACGTTACACTGTTTGCACTGGGTTTAGGGGAGCGGTGGTTTGCTGGAATATCATTTTCTTCTGCATCTAAGCCAGTAGCATCTATGTCTATAGCTATATACAGACAGACAATTCAAAAATCATCAGGGGGGACAGGAGAGGAAAAACAGGTTATAAAGAAAATAAAATGAAATAAAACAAAACTAAGCAGCATAAAAGATCTATTATGAGTGCTCAACACAGTATACAAACAAAGTAAAATTTAAAGGCAAAGTCATTAAGAACACATTGTAATCAGGTCTAATAAAACAGAAAGATAACCTCATAATATCTGTTTGTGTGGAAAGATTAGAGTTTTTTTTCCTACATCTTTTCAGTAATATATTTTAAACTGGTTGTTTCAAATATAACACTACAATTTTCTATGCCAATTTTACACTATACTACATACAGAATGTTCCCCTTAATTTCTTACACCTTAAAATCAACTTTTACATATTAAGCAACTGTGCTGAAAATGTTTATCACATTGCATCTCAGATTTCTCCTTTTGTTTGGTTTTAAGGGAAATGGTTCACTAAATAGTCATTTCAGTGAAAAATGTTATATAGAAAATACAAAGGAATCATCATTAACAAGAGGCAAATACTTCTGGGAGGGTTCTAAGCCAAATAGGATTAAAATGACTTCAAGAAGACATGACCTGACTAAAGACTAATTACAGAACATTATTTCCAGTGATACCCAAATGAAATCAGCCTAGTACAATGACACTAGACACTTGCTGCCTCATACAAAGTCATTGGGCTTCACACGAGAGGCAGAGTGGATGGGTAACAATTCCCTAAAGAATATATCCAAGCGCTTTGATCTGCAAAATGAGGGATTTAGGCTTATTGCTCACTGCACTTTTCTCTTTTAGGATGTTTCAAATAACATCCTTGAAAATGAATTTAAAATATAATAAAAAAGATTCATAATCTCTGTTCATAAATGTATCTACATGCATTTATTACAGAATTTCATCTCCCCTGGAATGAGAGATGAGAAAGAAGTATTTTAACGATTTCCTTCACACTCTTATTTTAAGATGTCAAAGATGAATTCTTTGAGGTTAGGGGACTTGTTCATGGCAAATAGTTGGCAGAGTCATGATTCAAAAAACCTAGGCCCCAGCCTCGGTGTTCCCTTATCCCACCTTGTACTCCACTGCTGCTCCTTTGGGGACCCTTTGCTTTCCCAATAGGGCTGTGCCCTCAGCACCGGAAGCTCATACAGCTGAGCTCACTAAAAAATTATTTTCCGCTTTAGATTAGGTCAAGTAGAAAGAAAGAAGCAATTTATCCACTATAGGAAAGCATCATCTTACATATATTCACTCTCTAACACAAACCACAGTGCATTCAGATTTAAGGAACAAAGAACCCTTGTGAAACAGTAGTGTAGTACTGAGATACAGCTATCAGTCCCTGGCATGATCTACAAGCTGAACTGATGCTCACAGCATGTACGTTGACGCTTTTCAAGCGATGGCAGATCATCTTGACAGGAACCTCATACTTTCCCCCCCCTTTTAAATATGTTAGTGCAGTTTTCTTTTATCTATAAATCTTTATTGTGACTCTGGTGAAAGTTTACAGAACTAACCAGCTTTCCATTCAATTATTTTGCTCTGTGACACTGGTGACAGTCCCTATTATATACTAACACTTTCCCCACTTCCTCCTTGGGGTTCCTATTTGCATTCATCCTTCCTCACTAGCCCTTCCTGCCTTCAAATCTGCCCTTTTCATCTTGTATGGTTGATTGTTTCAAGGAATGCATTTACTCTTGGTGTCAATGATCATATTCCAGCCAGTCTCTTATTAGGCTGAAGTTGTACCATAAGGCAGGAGTTTCAATTCAAGTTCAAAATGTGTCCAAATATCATGATGGAGGTGGGGTTCCATTGTCTCTATCAGGCCAGTAAGTCCACTATTTGTAATGAGTCTGAGCTCCATTCCACAGTTTTCTCTTACTCTATCTGCGACTGTCTATTCACATCATCTTTCAATTTTGAAATTTTTATGGATATTAGTTGACTCAAGCTTTTGAAATGAAGATCTCTTATTAAATTGTTCCTTTTCATTTTGATCAGGTAGGAAACCTGTCATACAGAAAATACTTGGCACTGTTTAAATAATATTGCAAATATCAGCTACTGCTTGCATAATAAATTCGTTATGATTTTCCCTCAACTGAAGGCAATAAATGACTAAGTTAATTCCAAGTCTTTAGTTAGGCTTACTTAGTAAATACATCTTTGCGCCATCTCTATGTATACTGATAAGCTAAGGGGCTCATCACATGGTGTGTGACTGAATCATTAGATGTGCCCTGAGGTTTGACAAGCTGAATTTTTATACCTCCCTTCGGGCATGATGTCAGGAGGATTCTATCCTTGGAAAAAAGACATCATGCTGGGAAAGGTGGAGGGCAGAGAAAGAGAGGACGGTCTTCAACAAGATAGACTGACACAGTGACTGTAACAGTGGACTTGGACAGATCAGAGATGTGAGGATGCAACTGGATAAGGCAAGGTTCAGATCTTCTGTTCTTAGGGTTCTGTCTTAGTCAACTCGATGGCACCAAACACGACCACCACCACCACCACAGCTAACCCTTTGCTCATGTCTAAGAGTTATCTTACGGTGCTTTTAAAATGACACAAGGCTGGGAAGAGTATGGAAAAAACCAAGCAAAAAAGAATGCTTTCTCTTAAGTGTTAACTCTGAAAGCATATCATGAGTGCATTCCCGGAAAGGAAGGAAAGGATCCGAGTCACTATTTCATGATCTCTCCAAGATGATTTTACCAACACCAAATGATGTTTTTCTTGGGTAGTATATTTCTATGCACTTTTTAGATTTCTCCTTTAAAAATAGCTCTTACAGAACATTTTACGAGGGCTGTAACTTTGAGTCTTTCTGGAACTGAGCATACCTAAAGTCTACTTCAGAGTCCAGAGTCCTTTTGTGTTGGGCATGGTTAAAAAGCCTGCTTGAAAACCCAAAAGCTCGCAGTAAAGGGCATTAAGAAGAAAGGCTTGGTGATAAACTTCTCAAACCCCACCATTTAACACCCTGTGCAGCAGAGATCTATTCTGCACACCTGGGGCTGCCATGGGTTGAAGTTGACTTTCTGGCAACTCCTTTTCTTATATATCAGAGTCAACAGAACCCCAGGGTGGCAAAGTTAATTGCATTTTATGATTGCTCTATTAAACCAGGCGTGCTGTCATCAGGAGATTTTTTTAAAACAGTTGTTAACAGAAAAAAGTTCAGCTCTGACACTGTCCAGATGTTTGGCTCTCTCTCTCTCTCTATCTATACACACACACACACACACACACACACAGCTTGAGTCAGGTTTGAAATTTACCTCGATTTGGACACTCTAAAATTGAGAACATCCCAAGTTGATTAATTTTGACTTCAAAACATATTTTGGTTCATTTAAGCTAAAAGCGTTTGGGTGCATTCTGAAACAGAAAATCTTGAGACATGTGGACACTTTTCAGAATATGTTATAAGAGTCTACCAAGACACTTGAGAAGCATTTCAACTCTTTAAATTCGTATAGAATTTAAGTTGATGCTTAAGTCGAAGCTTAAGTCAGAGCAGATGGTTACCTAACACTGAGAAGTGGGTTTGTGTGTGTGTGTGTGAGTGTGTGTGTGTGTGAAATTCCATACTTCTATTTACATACCTTAAAATTAGTAAATAAATAGTACTTGCCTGAGAATAATGATTTCCACATGTTTGAAAATTTCCTTCCCCCTATTGTTTCTTACTACTATGCATGCTGCTTCCTCTTTTTTTGTAGACGTTTTGGGACCACGTTTTGAAATTTTAATTCTAGTTTCATCTTAAAACAAGTGAATCAAGTTAAATGATGGAGTTCATGAGCAACACGTGTGCACATGTGTGAAGGGGCTGTATGCGCTTGTGCAAACACTATGGGCTGAGCGCACCAAAGTAAAGGGGGACCTTTCATTTCACCAGTACTTGAAAACATTAAAATATATTTGTTTTAGCAGGTACTGCCTTGAATCTGATAACAGGTGAGGGATTTTGTAGATACGGATTATGGGAAACAGTAAGATTAAAAGTACTGTTGCAGGCTGGTCTGAATTCGATGGATTGGGCAGTTTCACCACAGAGGTGGGTAGGGAATCTCTATGTAGAATTTTCTCAAGTTTTCTTTAACTTCAAGTGAACTGTAGATATGAAAATAATAGTAGAGTCCTGATATATTTGTTATAGTAACTTCTCAATCACTGTGTTGTTTCCATCCCCGCCCGCAATCTATCTAATCTTTGTTTTTAGAGAAGTATTTGAAAGTCAACTATCTGTATAAAAGTTCAGTGATCCATTGTACATTCTGACTTAAGTAATCTTATTTTCTCATAGGACAAACGTAACAGAACTTTATTTTAGACAAACATCTGGTTCCAAAAAAAATGAAAATGGTATTTTCAAATACATGGATTTACGCTTCAAAATGCACACATTTTCTCTCATTATCACCAAAAGACTAGAAGGCAGTGTGTTTGGAGAGAAGGGAAGCGTTTTCCTGGACTGCAGAAGTTGGACTTGGCATCAGTTGAGTTGTGACTTAGTATAAAATGATACTGCATTTTCCTTTTTCAGGAACCCAGAAACAATCCTTAGCTGTCTGTGAGGCAGTCTTTAAGATATACAGACAAAATATACAGTTGATTTAGCAATCCCAGCAACTTAAAAAAAAAAATGAGACAGAGGAGGGTACAGGCTCCTTTTTCTAGGCAAGCAGAGAGCTTCCCAGTGCTGAAGGGGGAAAATGTAATATCATAATTGAAAAGTTTGATTTAAAAAACCCCATTAATTAGCTTAGTTTTCATTTTTTAATACTGATCCTTCATTCAAAAGGCATTTCTTTTCATTTCATACATAGGATTTTATTCACCCCTTAACTTTGAGCAGTTTAGAATTAGTCTAAGTTTAAAGTTCAGGGGGTCCCAGGATTATAATGTCAGAATTCTGGACAACTCTCACTTGTCCTTTAATTAAGATATACTTTCCCTCTGTTTTGAGTAAGAGCACCCCAATGTTAACTTGCAGGTTCCAACATAGGATGGTCATTAGGCTTAGGTCTGAGGCCAAAGAAACACCAGAAGTAACTTCTGTCTTGAGGACTGCCGCCTGCCCTGTCTGTGACTCCACTGGCCTGAGGAAATTACTTGGTTAATCATTTTGGAGAAGCATATAATTTTGCCTGCTTATCAACATTGCTTAAGAATATATGCTGTTCATCTTTCATTTACCAGTGAGGACAAGGTGCTAGACATCAGGGCAAATAGAAGGATGGAAAGTTACATATGTTCATCAATTTGATCATCCATAGCAATTTAACATGAACATACTGACATTAATTCTTACAAAATTACAGAAAAACTTTTCCATATTTATTCTTCATTCCATACGGCCATTCTTATCTCTGATTCATTTGAATGTTCATAGGGTACTATCCTAACCTCATAATTGAGTGTATGTATAGTCACAAAACTAGGGAAGACCAAGGAAATAATGAAATGCCGCATGTACTGTTCGGTGTTTATCACCTACTTACCAGATGATGGAGGTGTAGATTTTCTGGAACTAGGAACTATGTCCCCCAAACTTGATAATGAATTTCCTCCTGATTTACTAGAGTGAAGCAAAAATTTACATTAAATCTGACACTTTTTTTAGATCTTAAAACATTTCTACTGTTCAATAAACATGGCTGTTCATTGTGTCTTTACTGATTTTTGCAAATTTTTCTTTTCTACAAGGAGATATATCTAGTCATTTCCCAGCGGAGATTCCTGTATGATTTAAAATGAGTCTACTTTTAAAACTCAAGGTTTAATTTAATAAGGCCTTGAGAGAACAGAAGGGAAGTGGGGTAATTTCTGTAGCCCTCAAATTCTCTGTCAAGATCGCAGACAGCTGAAAAAGCAGAGACCTCCTTTGCTTTTTAGAGACATATAGAAGATACTCTATGACTTTAACTCTAACACTAAAATGGAATGTTCCCTTCTTGCTTCATTTCTGCACCTGTACATTAGCTTGAATAATTTTTTTAAAGTATAAAAACATTGAAGCAGGATCCCTGGTGGTGCAATCCCTAAGCATTCAGCTGCTAGTGGAAAGGTTGAGCTTTGAACTCATGCAAAAGAGAAACCTGGAGACTTGCTTTCAAAAAATTATCAGCTATTTGAACTGTGGCAACCACAATTAGCTCAAATCACAACTGGTCTAAATGGTTAGGGTGCAAAATTGTCCATAACTATGAATTCTACGAATATTCCAACCTACTGAACTATGCCCAATTACAATGCCTTTGATTTCTCACAATTTTTATATGCACGTGTCAGAACTTTTAAAGAAATAAGGGTCAAATTTCAAAATTATTTTTATCTCCCAAATAAACTTACATCTAAAAATTCCAGGAACAAAATGTAAAAATATCTGAAAACATGTTTTCACATACTTAAGCAAAATAACTGGGCTTAGAGAGAAAACATAATCAAGAAAATGAAAGGAAAAGTGGATAATAAGAAAGGTAGCCCAGTTCCCTAGAAAATGAGTAATTTATAACCCTTTAGGAAAAATAGGTATTATCAAAATTAATATATGTTACATAATACATACTTCTAATGGAAATGCAAGCAGTAATAACTAGTGGTTTTAGGTTTGTTACATGATTTGTGGGCCAGCTTACCAGGCCGTTTGAGGTCAGTCTACAGTTAGGCGGATTGGCTTTTAATCTTAGTTCTGCCACTTACTGGTTGTATGACCTTGGTCGATTTCCTTAACTTCTTATAGTATGTTTCTTTTGTGAAGTAAAGATTATATTGCCAAAGGATCCCCTAAAACTCTTATAAAACAGAACAGAAGAAAGCACGTTTCTCTAATAGTTTTGGCAAAGATTTCAGCTCCCTTTCCTGTTGGAGTAGTTTTCATATTTTAGATTGTATGTGAAGAAAAAGAGAAAAAGTATATATCTATAAAAATTTGTCACTAATTTTCTAAAATGTACCCTACCTCAGGCACGAATCAAGAAGTGTGTGTTATCACTGACAAATAAATTGACATTATTATATAAATAAAATATATATGCAAAGAAAACAGAAGCTTAGACACTCACATTAAAGATTTCCTCAGACACAGCATCTCTTCTTAAACAGAGAGAAACACACCGTGTCCATGGATGTGTCTGCACAAAATTCTATATAAATTCATTATAATCTGAGTGGAAGTTCTTGAGTAGTACAAAGGTTAATAAGCTCTTTTACAACCAAAAGACTGGTGGCTTGTGGCTTCCCAGCAGGACTTTGAAACACAGGGTTGGCAATGTACTTCTCAAAGATGTGTGACTGAAAATCCTGGAAGCTCAGTGCTCCTCTGACTCACGTGGGATCACGCTGCACCAACAATGACTACAAGGAAAATGATGTACAAATAACTTTTGACCCAGAGTCATCCCATGTGTTACAGAATAGAAGTGCCTCTAGGGTTTTCTAGGTACTGCATTTTGCAAATCCGCTGCCAAAGACTCTGTAAAGTGCTAAGGAGCAATGATGCCTGTTTAAAGACTAAGGTACTACTGCCTCAAGCCATAATATTTTAAATTACTTCATACAGATGTGAAAGTGGGACAGTGGGCAAGAAAAACTATAGAAGAACTGATGGCTTTGAATTAGTGAACAGTATTGAGTGTTATTAGTGAAGAGTGCTGAATTGACCATGGACTGTCAAAAGAACAAACATATCTGGGTTGGAAGAAGTGCATTCAGTGCTCTTTATAGGCAAGCATGTTGAGACTTCATTCCACACACTCTGGGCATCTTATCAGAAGGGGCTAGTTCCTGGAAAAAGGCCATTATGCTTGAAAAATTAGAGGGTCAGTGAAGGAGCACAAGATCCTCAATGAAACAGATCAAAACAGTGACTACAACAGCAGGTTTAAGTACTGGAGAGATTGTGAGAATGGCGTCGGGTCAAATAATTTCAACATATTGTATGTAGAAGCACTGTGGGTTAGACTCAGCCTAACCCAATAAAAACAACCTTCACAGAAGTAGATTGCCATGTCTTTCTTCTATGGGTGGATTCAAACTGACACTCACTATTACACCACTAGGGATCCTTCTTCCACTGTAGCTGTTTTAATTCATGATCATACTTAGTTTGATTGTTTCCAGATTAGGATGAAAATTAGACTTTGGATGCTGTTTTCAAAAGGCAGGATACATGATGCTACCAGTCAACACTACTGGTAGTCTACTTTTAGACACCAAACTAGTAAGTACAGTACACAGCAAACCACAGTGTATGAAAGATGACATAATATGCATTTTCACACAAACCTTCGATATTTTTCTCCTACCTGGAGTAAAATTTCCCTTGCTTGGCTCTCTGTTCATGCTGTAGCCTCATGTTTTCTAGCTTGACGGGGCTTGGAATGAATCCAATTTCACAGCCTTCTTTAACCAATCGTCCTATCCACCAGTCATTGTTAAATTTCTGGACACAAAATCAAGGTTATCAGAATCAGTACACAGCACTGGATACCTTCAAAATAGAATCTTCCCTTAAGTTACTTTTCTCCCACATGACCTATTTTCAGTGGAGAGAAGTATTATAACAATGGCAATCAACAATGTTGGAATTATCCCAGTTAAAAAAAACCTGGAAGTTCACAGGGCTAGCATGGAGCGTGAGGGGTCTTTGTTGTGCTCAGTGACCTACTCAGGTTTTATTCTTCATCTCCTTCACCACGCTGCCTTAGGACCAACCTGAGTCCCAGATAAGCTGCTCTGCTGTCATCACGAGCAGGATAAGCTCTCCTTGTTCAAAGATTAATAGCCCTTCCTAGCACGAGACAATTTCAAACCAGAAAACAGTACAGAGCTCTTTCTCTTATACAACAGATTAATTAGGAGGACTAAAAGTCAGCATTAAATACTGAAATCTATGTGAAATAGTTTACATAACAAAATTTACCTCTGGACCAAGAGGTTTACAATAATCACAGTACTGTCTTTGCAGATGTTTTCCCTACATAGGCTGATTTTCCACTCGTGTTGGGGGGAGGGCAGGGCAGACATATATCCTAAATCAACATGATTTTCTGCAACTGTTGTTGTTGTTGTTGTGTGCCGTCGAGTTGCCTGCGACTCATAGCGACCCTATGTACAACAGCCCTAAACTCCACTCTGTCCTGAGCCAATCGCACTGTCTCTGACACTCCCATCCCAATTATCCCA